CCTTCACGCGCTCAGGCCACCTCGCCGAACACCCTGAACAATAAAAAAAATATATAACAAAAAAAAAGAGACCGGTGTAAGATATTCATAAAAAAAAATAAACGTACGGTGTTCACACGTGTGTGTGTGCGTCAAACACCCTGAACAAAAAAATCACGTATGATGGTACAGCATGTGTGTGTGCTCGTCCCATCTACTTCAGTCGGGGCCACACGATAGGTGGCATCCAATATCCAAAAGAAAAAAACGAGACTAACGCTCTCGGGCGACACACCCTGGCCGAGGGAAATGGTGCAAAGGGCTAGTAAAACAGCGGCGAAGGTATATAATTCCCCCAACACCAACAGGTAACATCCAATAGCAATGTGAGATGTATTGAACAGAGAAACGCAATTGGCATGGCGAAAAGAGCTGCTCGAGCCCAAATATCCATCACATCCAAAAGAAAAAAACTACATAGCGCCTTGTCCTCGGGGTTGACGCTCGTGAACAGCACCAAATATATGTTTTACGATGGCACACCAAATCCAATACTTTAAAATAGTGCAACAGTCTTAACACGCGAACGTAAAGGTTAATGTATGACACACTAAATCCTTTACAATCAACAAGATATATACCTCGGAGCCTCGTCCTCGGGGTTGACGCTCGTGTAGCGCTCGATGTCGCTGGCCTTGTAGGTTTCTCGAGCATCCTTGATCGCCGTCGCGGGCTGGGAGCAACAGCGGCAGGTAAGGAAAAACTGAGACAGGGCGATGTTCAGACACACACCGCGACGCCAACCTTGGGGACAGCAAGGGCCAACCACAGCCACAACAACATTAACCACAGCGGCAACTAAAACAACAACAACAACAACAACAACCAACAAGAGACTAAAAAATACAACGGCCACAGCAGCAGCAAAGGCAACACTCACAGCAGCAGCAGCAGCAAACATACCAACAACGGCAGCAACAGCAACGGCAAAAACCCACAGGAGCAAACAACAACAACCATGACAACAACATACACACACAAGACAAAAAACACCGAAATAAGCCTCACTAGAATTTGTATTGGCTCGTTGTCGTCATCAACCGCAGCCGCAACAGCGAAGGCAAAACCAATAGCAGCAACAACAACAACCACCACCACCACCATAAAGATTAAAAAAAACACTCGCCAGCATCTTTATTGGCTCGTTGTCGTCATCTTCGTCGCCGCTCTCATCGCCGTTCTTGGGACCGTTCTTCGGCGATGGCGGAGGCGTGTTTTGCCCCACAGAGGTCAAGATGCCCGCCCCAGCATCCGCTCCTAGCCCCTGTTGGGGGGAAAAAATGGAAGAAAAAATAAAACGCGTGGGGTGAACAAAAAAAGAAAAAAAAATGCACTTGTAACGCTGTGTACTACTTTAAACCACGGCGACGGCGGGGGCGTGTAACTAAGTCTCGATGGAAAAAAAAAAAAAAAAACACACACACATGATCATGACATTTTGTGTTTTCAGCCGCACCGGGACTAACGTATTTTCATTGGTGAGGCGGTTAGCGCGGTCCATGCTAATCGTGTCTGCTGACATGAAGCCGGAACTTGCCGTCTGCTGTTCCCTTTTCTTTTTGCCCAAAGAGCATGACCCAACGAATCCATCTCTATCTAAGAAAAGAGTCTCAGATGGATTAGCAATGAATTCATAGCGTCAGAGAAAGCTACCTGTATTTCCGCGGTTCCCGAGCACCACACAGCGACAACAACAAGACAGTTTATGTTATTTTTTTCGTTACAACGTTGGAGGGAGGTCCGCGGGGTAAAACACACCGACCATTTCAACAATTTTGCGAGAATCGGGAAACAACAATCGTTTGTGTGGGCGCATTGTTTGCGTGTTTTTCGAACAATCCGTGGATGGGGTGGTCTTTATTTGTGTGTGTTGAAGCAAGAAAAACACTTCGTATGTGTTGTTGCAAGAAAAGTAATTCGCGGAATTTCGTAAGGAAGTGAAATTTAAAAAAAAAAAACAGAAGTACACCATCACAAGACTTTTTGGTGATTACTTAGTCTGCTGATTGCCTTTGGGCCCCTCCTCCAATACAATCATAGACGTGGCTTTTTTTCTGACCTCTGATCTTCCGTGCGTC